TTTTTTTTTTTTTTTTTTTTTTTTTATGCGAAACAGAAATAAGGTCATTGAATGGGAACAACATTATGTGGAAGTGGGCAAAATGTTTTTTCTTAATATGAAAAGGCGAGCAAAAGCTCGAAAGCAAAGAGAACACGTTGGGTTAACACAACCAAATACTCAAGAATATAACATGGGAGAGCTATAACCCTAGTTGTTTACAATGACAAGAAGAANAAAATGCCCAGTAGTAAAAGTCCAAAAAAAAAAAAAAAAAAAAAAAAAAAAAAAAAAAAAAAAAAAATCTAGAATTAGGTTGGAACTTAAAATCTGAAGCAGGATTCTAGGAACAAACAATGACCTGATGGAAACCAATGAAAGAAAATATACTTCAGAAAAGATATAAATAAATAAGAAGCAATCTTCAACATGCAAAGGACAGAAATGACAAACTTTTCGTGGAATACGAAAAAAGTTATTGTATGTGCTAGGAACTAAATTGATATCTCCTTTCAGATGGATGAATTGGCAACAGCATCTTCAATCAATAAAATGAGGTGCTATAAGCCATTGTTAACAAATATACTCGAAGAAGGCATCTGCATCAACTTAATGCACAAACTTAATTTTCTAGCATGAAATTCTTAACAACAGTTAGGAGGCAAATGATCTAGTTTTAAGAACAAAAAAAAAAAAAAAAATAAAAAAAAAAAAATAATAATGGAGGTTCTGTAGCTAACTAAAAAACAATGTAGAAGATAATATCAACAAATGTTTAATTACTACAATAAATACAGTAATAATGTTTCACCCTTTTGCAATTATAGTTTGAAATCTCTTAGATCCAATTGGAAAAGTTTTTTAACATCATTGGATGGGGCTTTTATCCCTCTTTCTTTTTCTTTTCTTTTCTTTTTTTTCCCTGTAAAATTTCATAGCATCAATGAAATTGTTTCCTATCCCTACCCCCACCCAAAAAAAAGACCTTATTTCTTTGATTTTTGGAAAATCTAAATCAATAAACTCTCTCAAAGCTTTTGAAAATGAAATGCAAGCACAAACATGCACATAGTTCTTGTTTGTTATCTGCAGAGAAAACAGTGGGAAAACAATAGAAGAGGACAGAATAAAATCACGTGCTTAAAAATAATTTCATCTGCAACTCTATTTATTTCTCCCTCATCCCTCAATGCAATCGTTCTTGTCAGTTGATACAACTAACAATTAAAAGTCATAGAAGCATGAAAGCTAATCCAGTCTCTAGATAATAATGAAACAATTGAATTATAATATATGGAAAGACAAACAATATTTGAGTCGTTCCCTTTTTAACAAGCACTAATTATTTTCAAATGTTTGGGGTGGTTCAGGAAAATACTGAATTGAAACATCACAATACTAGAATCTGCAAATTTAGAAAATCTTACAATATGTTAAAACGTAACATACCTGCAGAAGGTAGCAGACGAGGGAATATCCAGCCATACTTTCCACAAAATTTCTCTGTTCAGATTTCAAAGGAGAATGGTATAATCACAACAGCAGTGCAAAATAAGAAGGGAATATCAGATACGCTGAGTCATTATCAATCAAATATTTATACATTATTTTGAACTTCAAAAAACGTTCGCTAACAGAGTTTGGATAAAATGCAACAAATAAACATCCCCCTGCGCTGGTGGCAGTATTATATCAGATATTCGTTTAGCAGTAAATGGGAAAACGTCAAAAAAGAGGGAATGCTTTCACTAGCAAAAATAGTAGAAACAACAATGATAGTGGGCAAGTTTAACGAAGGAAAACTTAATTAAGAAGAAGGAAAACTAGAAGTCTAGAAGAGATAGCCCCAGAAATGATCCTCTATACTCCAGAGAATTTAAAATTTCAAACAATTGGAAAGAAGGAAACCTAGAAGTTTAGAAAAGACAGCTTTCCAGGGAATATTTAATGTACCATATCAAGAAACTGCAATTAAATTAAATATATGTAAAAAAGAGAAGAGAAAAGTACCTGGGCAAGTTTAAAACTTGGAGAGTTTTCTTCATATTTAGCAACAAAGAAGTCACGCAAACTAGTGATGCCAGGATATCTACTTTTGATAGAATGAAGTGAAGCCTGAAGAGAAATAGTGGTGATCTGCATTGCTTTTCTTTTATTTTCCATTATTAATAAAAATTAAAAACAGAGTATAAGATTACCGTATCTGGAATTGTTTCAATAAGAGCTGTGTAAGAAGACGTAACTAAGACTTCATAGGGTCGTAACCAGAGAGGAAGACCAGCTTCTTGAAATATATCTGGCGACACAAGCGATATGAATAAAAAAGATGTAAAAAAAGCAAGTCAATACATAATAATGCTCAAGAAATTTGATGTATAACAATTAATTTTCTTTTGGCTTGAGACTTGTGAGTAGAGAAATTGGCTTCTTCCATACTTTTAGGACATGATGGAGGAGGAGCTTGATAATGCCCTTTTGGTAATAGGTTTCAGACTTCACATTCTTTGGCAAGTAGCGTTCTTTCCTATTTTGTACCATCTATGGCTCGATAAAGATAGTACAATTTTTAGGGGAGCTAAGAAATTCTAGGAGGTCTGAAATGAAGGTTTACGATGCAGCACATTTCAATGCATCTCTCTAGATGTTCTTTACTTAGTGCTTTGTACATTATCCTCTTTTTCCGATTCTTAACAATTAAGGCAGTCTCTTGTTTTAATTCACTGGTATCATTTTAAGTTGCCCAATACTTCCCCATCTTAAGATTTTTATAATTCACAAAACAAAGGAAATAAAACCAACCAATTAACAAATTAACAAAACTAAAATGAACTATCGATCTAAAACTTAAGTGACTAAATTAAAATACTTATCCTATCAATTCCCTGCATTGATCTTCTTTTCAACATCAAAGTTCAGCAATAGGAATGTCTAATCCCCTTGGCCCTTTAGCCAAGAGATTGAATAATGAACATGAAACCCTGAAAACTGGTCATACCATAAAAGTGTGAGATAAGTTGGACAGCAAGATGCTCCTGTCTGCAATCATCTCCACTCTTCACAATGACCTATGAAGAGGAAAAGAGAAAATAAACAGCGGCTAACCTGACTATCCATACACCAAATGAAGTTAATGAAAAATAGAGGATCATCACAGCATTGCTGTGCTTAGTTACATATTTAAATGTCATCAAGTTGAAAGAAGTTGATAATGATAGTTAATACTCATGATGTACGACAATATATGTAACAAAAAGTGCATTATGTAGCAAATTATGCTAAAAATTTCCAAATCGGTTGCATTCACACTATGATAGTTATTTTACATTATTTCTTCACCATTGCATCAAGATTTATTTCGGGCTATTTGGAAATCAAAAGGACCAAAGAGAATCATCGTTCTTCTATGGATTTTAAAAAATAGCAGCCTAAATACTTCAGAAGTCCTACAAAGGAAGCTTCCCTTTTTTGGTTCATATGGCTTCGGTTTGCCCCCTTTGCCGTGAGAATGGGGATTGTTTATCTAACTTATTTTTTGGTTGCATTTACTCATTGAAGTGTTGGTTCAAGTTTCTCTCTATTTTCAAAGTTTAATGGGTATTCATTTTCAATTTGAAGGATGATATTCAGCAGCTTCTTTGTAGGTTTCATTAGCCTCATTGAGGGGTTTCATTGGTCTCGAAGCCACATTTTCTATGGATAAAGGCAATTAAAGCTCTTCTATCAGAAATATGGATAGAAAGGAATATCAGGATATTCGAGGATAAGCATCTTCTTTGGTTCAATCATTTTGATTCTGCTCATTTGAGAGCTTCTAAAGGTGTTCTCATGTGTCTCAGAAGTTGTGCAATGCCTTGCCTTACAGATTAAACACTATAGCCCAAAGTAAGTTTAAAAAAACATGTTGTCTCGATCTGAGACAATGCTTGGTATCCTCTCATATTAGCATTATTTCCAAAGAAATATCTTGGTACTTTAGCGGCTCCAAATAAATGCTTTAAAGATATGAAGTGCCCATTACTAGAGAGTACCTATCCACTATTCGAGATCATGTGCCCTTGGGATGTTGAAAATTCTTCTATCATGTCCATGCCTATATCTACCACGGGCAATCAATTTTAATAGTATCAAGATTAAGGAAATTTAAATACGACCACAGAAAATTCTCACCAAAAAAAAAAAAAAAATACAGACAGAGAGAAAATAAGTGCTGATAGAAAAAAAATAATGGAGAAAACCTAAACAGAACTTACAGAGCGTAAGTCCCAACCAGATAACTTTCCAAATTTTGAAGCTTTATGTATCCTTTCTTTCTTAACTGACCAAAGTTCTCCAGATAAGGCATCACTTGCCTTGGGTATGCTGCCATTTTCCTATTTTAAAAAAGAGATCTTTAACCTCTGAACTACCAAAATTGCATAATATAGAAAAACATAAACATTTTTTCAGTCTTCACCCTTGGCTGTGCATCCGTTGAATCCTGACCAGCCCCTTTTAGGGGAAGTCCAGGAGGTGCCTCCCCTTTTGCTGCTGCGGCCTGCCAAAAGCAGCAGCAACATGATTGAAGGTATAACAATTTAAGGGTATCACAAACAAATAATGCAAGGAAAAAGTCGTCTAATGCCATCCTACAAAAATTTAAAATGAGCCATCACACTGAAATTGGTGCAGAAAGAAAAGAAGAAAATAAAATGTTCAGTTTCTTAAACTGCAGACTAGAAATTAAGATGGTGAAAAACATTCGATCCAACATGGTTGTGAGCATAAGGATTTTCTAAATCTCATGTGGTCTCGTTCATAGTCTTGGGAGGTTGCCAATAGCCATCTTGAGGTTCTCAATCGAAGGGAAATGAAAAGGAAGATATAAAAAAAAATGGTATACACTAGGACTAATGAAAGGATTAGGCAAAGTAGAGTGCATGGTTCCGAGTAGGGTCTATGGTTCTGGCTTCTTTCTCCCTCCAATGTGTTTCCCAGCAAGGGATTTGTGATTGCTTTAAAAGTTTACCAAGTGCCCCTAGAGGTAGGACAAGGTAGGACCTCTTACCATCTACTACATACATATGCAAGCAAAACTGAGGAAGTTTGTTGGATGACGAAAATACACACAAGTAAAATAATTCTAAAGAAACTTAGCATCTGGGATGTTATCACCAAGCTCTAAGCAACTGGTGATAGTGATGATGATGATTATTGGTGTCCGCAAGTGTAAATGCTATTTGCAAATGCAACACCTCACCTTTACTTCTTCTATAGCTACTGTACTTGGGACCCGGCGGTGTTCCCTCCTACGAGGTGCTCCTTGAACTTCAATGTCTTGCATTCTAGTTCCAGGATCGGCAGTGAGCACAACTCTCACCCACTCCAAGTCACTGCTCGGAGCTGCTCCTGAACCATGAGCAACATCTACTGCACCTTGTTGACTACACACAGTTTCATCAGGGTCTGAACCAGTTATCTCGGTGATCTTTGACTCATTCTGCACTTGCTTCTCCACAGAAAGTTTCAAACTTACAAATTTCACTCTTGCCTCTGACTTGTGTGACATTGCTTGATCAATTGCTAGAGCAGTAGAACTGGACATTCGATCAGTACTATTCCGGTACGCCTCCTGAGTTGTCCACAATGGATAAGCCCAAGGAGGTGGCTTTGGTAGGAGTGCATCTCCATTTGCTAAAGGAATCCCTCCTCTAGATAACTTTTGAGCATTGGAGGCGTCCTTTATGTTGCTAAAAGAAGTTGATAAATAAGTTAATTTAAAGAGATAGAGCAGTCAAAGTCTTGAATATCAATATTAATATGATGGCTGGGTTGACAATTATGACTTAGTTGCCACCAAAGTAAATAAGCCTGCTGGAACTTACTTTGGAACTTCACTTTTCACTACTTCAACACATATTAAGTAAGGTGCTTTTTCCCTAGAGTTGAGAAGCACAGCTTCATCTTCAGGAATATGGACAACACGATACATCCCTCTTCCCATAGGAAAGGAAACACCTGTAAATACAAACAGTAACTGAATAATCAAAAAACGCAACTTCCAGAACAAATTCCTTGAAGTATCATAGCGTTGCACATCTACTAGAACAAGTAGAGAAATCACCCATCCATATGCAAGTGAAAATGTGAAATCGTATAAAATGAAGGAAAGGAAGCAAGACATCTTTCTTCAACACTAAGCGAGGAGGCAACAGAAAGGAGACCCAATTACCACCAACTCCTAGCTTTTCTCTTGTAGAAAACTTCTTTTACTTGTTAGACAGCAGCTTCAAAGTTCTCTCCTTATTATAAAGCAGAGAAAGCACAAAAAACATATGCAATTGATATCCAAGATGAAGCTGAGGATTGTAGAACGTCCCAAAAAAGAAAAAGAAAAAAAAAAAAAAAAACTAAGGAACAAAAGGCTTTACATTGAACTTAAAAATGTTCTAGCGTTTCTTTCCATCAAAGAAACCAAAAGAGAGCTCCAGTGGTGGCATTTTTCCAAATAACTTTTGAGTTTCCTTAATGCAATGGCTTTAAGGGATAGCTCAATCCCTCTTTTTGTAATGAGCCTTTTTGATCAATATAGTCTCTCATTTCTTATGTTACAAAAAATAATAAATAAATAACATTTGATTTTCCTTATTCACCAGCCAAATGGTCTAGGGTTAACATCAATTTTCTCTAATGGAAAACCAAACATTCATTAAGAAATAGAAGTTCATCACACAACTTTATGGTTTTCAAGCAAACCATGGAGCACACCACCCCAGGAACTCTCGACCCTCCAAAGATCTCCAAAATTTCTCTACAATTTCTCCAATTTCTCTCAACTAAATATTCCACATAATATCCAATAATAAATAAAACCACTTCATAGAACCCTTCTCTTATTCCCGAAAGACATATAAAGTGCTGTTATCTCTAGTACAGCACCAATTCAAACTTTCAGGACAGAAAAGACCAACTAGAGCAAGCAAATAGACAATTACAAACTTGCATAAAAACTCATTTTCATCTGTGTATGTGAAAGAACTACAACAGCACAAATGTTTGCAAATTGCGACACGGATCCACACCTAGGACATAAATTTATGCATAGTTTTGAAAGTTCTCAAGCAGGGATAACTAATAACCTTTTGAACTGCATTTTGGAAATTGAATAGCAAATTGAGACAAAAAAGAATTGCATTATTTTCTATGGACACTTCAGACCATTTTGAATATTTAGCATTATATGCTACATGTTGCACTAAGAAACAAAATGCTTCTAAATCAGCATAATATAGATACCTTATAAATAATATCATACCTCCATTACTTTGAGCCTCAGCTACTTTTAAATTTATTTCTGCAAGAGACTTTAAACAATGTACAAACTATTTCAGTGAGGAACTCAAGAAAAAATATAAGAACATAAGAGTTTAACTGGCAGAAAAATTATAAACAACCTCCCTAAGTGCACTTTTGCGGTCTTCAATTGGAAATACATCCACTAATCCATATGAGGTCTCACATAAAGAGTGAACGAATTCCAACGACTCATGATAAGCTCCTTTTCGGAATTGAGAAGCAGTACTATTTGAAAGTGGAGGCTTCACACTTGACTTCTCATTTTGCTGCTTTGGAGACCCCGGATGCTTCTAGAAAGTTATGAGCATATAGTTCAGACAAGGGTGCCAAAAAGTTGTAGCAGAGAGTCAAGCAACTGAAGCAGTCTAAACTGTAGGGTGTTCAAATATTGCATTATTCTGTTCTATTGCCAATTTGGAGACTCTTTTTGAAACTCCCAGGTGAAAAATGGACATAAGTTTTTCATTCTGGAAAAGGAATTAGAGGCCAATAGTAAACGTACCTCATTGTGCTTCTTCAATCCAAAAAGCTCTGAGTCTTCAATGGAACGATCACGATCTCGAAACAACTTGCGAAAAAAATTTTCCGTACCTCGACTACTTTCAGGCAGGCTATCTATGTTATTATTGTCATTTAATTCAATACTTTTTACCTCCTCAGGATGCACACGAAACAGCCTACGGAACAATGAGAAATCAGAAGGCTCTTCTTCCTCCCCATTCCCGTTGGCATCTTCAACCTTATCGGTTATATCATTTTTGTCCTCAAATTTATCCCTAAAAAGTTTGCGAAAAAATCCTTCCTTCTCATCATCTTCCCTGGATTTAGAACATTTTTCTTCAGAGTTTGTATCATCTTCATTTCTGTTATTCCCATCTCGCTTATCTTCAAACTTATCCTTGAAAATCTTTCGAAAAAATCCGTCCTTTTCATCTATCTCCCCAGACTTGGAAGCTATTTTATCCCCAGAGTCATTCTTGTTATCGTGAAACAATCTCTTGAAAAAGCCCTCTGAGCTTGAAGTTGCATCCTCATCTTCTCCTCTACTGTCCCTCAGAAACCTCTTGAAAAAACTCTCTTTCTCAGAGTCATCGTCATCTTTTTCTGATGACTTCCGGAAGAGAAGAGTATCTCGAATCTTAGAACCCGAGTCATCACCATTTCTACTGTCCCTTAAAAGCCTCTTGAAAAATCCATCCTTTTCATTTTCATCACCATCTTTTTCTGCCGATTTCCTAAACGAAAATGCATCTCTAACTTTTGGGCTTGGGATAAATTTCTTAAAAATATTGTTTTCATCAGGCGATAATTGACCAGCATCTTCTTGCCAATTGTTCCCTGATGAAGGTGAGAATGACATGGACCTTCGGTCAGGCGGAGAAGACACAAGGGACAATAACTGCTGTTTTGATGATAATAGTCTGTTCAAAACCTGGTTCTTGCTTCCAGGGCTCATTGATTCTCCTTGAGGTCGGACAAGAGGCGACCATTCACCCATCAAGATGGATGCAATCTGACACTTCTCCTGAATCCTACTTATCCCATCAGTATCATCCGAGTCATCAAGCTCAGCAGCTAAAAGCCAATGCACCTTCAAAGCTATATTAAGAGACTTCGAACACATATCAATTACAAATTTATCCAATGAAGGACTAGGCTTATGCACCATCAAGTAGCATATCTGAAACAAATAACTCTCCAAACCTGATATAGGCAGTGTATACATTCTATTACAGAGATAATCACGGACCCCCGAGTGTTCGTGCTTGTAGAGATAGCTAACAGCAATCCACTCACAGAAGAAAGCCGAATCAAAGAACCGAATAAGCCAACCACTTTCGCCATTCTCACTTGCCGTTGTGGCCCTGGAGGCGATCTCTCGAGGTGACTCATAAGAGTCACCACGAGCGAGTCCCAGAAACCTCACCATTCTCACTCGATCATCATAAACCCAAATAAAAACTCACACAGAACCAGCAACCCCAAAATCCTCTCAAAATTCAGATCACCGCTACAACCAAACTATTCATCCATCACAAATCCTACTCAAACCTCCACAAACAACCTAAATTCCTAAAACCAGCTACTGAGTTCAGAACCCGCAATCACTAAATTCCAGCGCCCACACTGAATCACATTCAACAATCAGAATCCCAAGTCCCAATTTCTTTCTTAAAGAAATCGACAGGGAATCGATTCCTTCAGCCCCCTCGAACCAAAAATCAACAGCAACACCAAACTCAGAAAGCAAGCAAGTAGAAAACGGAGAATCAATCAGAAGGGAGAGAGGGGGGGGGGGGGGGGGGGGGGGGGGGGGGGGGGGGGGGGGGGGGGGGGGGGGGGGGGGGGGGGGGGGGGGGGGGGGGGGGGGGGGGGGGGGGGGGGGGGGGGGGGGGGGGGGGGGGGGGGGGGGGGGGGGGGGGGGGGGGGGGGGATGTTAATAGAAAACCGCACACCTTGAGCAGGAACTGAAATCAAATTGCTTTCGAAACAGAAATAGGCGAATGGCACGAAGAAAAAACTCAGGTTGATCGTGTGGATCTTAGAATCCTGCGGAGTAATTGAGCAGCAGCGTGAGGGTAAAGTGGCGGAGACGCGGTGGTGTTGGGTAGTAGTGCAGAGATGGTGGTGAAGGTGGTGGTGGTGGTGGTCGTCGAAGCTGTTGGAGAGAGAAAGAAAGGTCGAAGGTGAGAGACAGAGAGAGACAGGATGTAAGTAACAATTAAATTTCAATTTTTAATTCATTTTATAATTTAAATCTTCATTCTTAATTACGGATTTAATTATATGGTTTGAGAAAGTTGAAATTTCGTTACAACAGTTTTATGGTTATTATAATTTATTTATATAATGAAACTCATTAATTATTATTATACATTATTTATGCAATTTTTCTCCAATAATAAAAATTGTAATATTTAATAACGAAATATTTTTATTATTATTATAAAGACTAAATCTTGAATCAAAATTTATAATTTAACTAAAATTAATTATTTTGATTTTAATCTTTTTTTTTCGTGTTTGTTTTTTGGGATTCTTCGATCCAAAGCTTCCATTTCCTATTATTAAAAAAAGAATAAATCATAGAAATTCTTCTAATTCATTTTCTTTTTAACTTTTTTTTTTTAGATCAAATTTCGACTTTATTCTTTTCGATGTATATTCTTTTTAATTTGAGTTTGAATTATTACAAATTTACATTTTAAATTTAGATGATTTTTTTCTTACGAGCAATGTATTGTATAATTTTAACTAGTATAATACGTTAAACCAGCTATAAGCAACGACATATTCTTCCTTTAAAGTAGTGTGTGAGAATAACTTTTATAATTGTGTAACTTTTATCCCCTCCTTTTCCTTTCGGTTATGCTTGAAAAGGAAAAATGTTCCCAAACAAATAACGTTAACGAACATATAAGGAGCTCAATTAAAAATGGAGAACGAAAGTAACTATAGCTCAACAGTAATAAACATGTAATTCCACTAATACGAGATTAGAAAGTCTCTTCCCGAGTTGAGCTAGCTCCGGTTTCTTTTCACTTCGACATTAATAAACAGATCGGTTCTAATGTTCAAATACATTTCACAACATCACAATTTCAGCCTAACTTTGAACCAATCGATCAGTAAAACAAAATATGATTAGAACTGGCACAAGATGAAAGTATTGTAAACATCAGCTATAAATTATGAATAACTGGAGAGGACATATATTAAACCGATAAAATTACAAAAGAAAGGTTCTTTGCTGCTAGTTAATGTGCAACTTCTGGCACATAACAATGTAAACAACGGCTGTAAATTATGAAAAAATGGAGAGGACAGAAGAAAAATAGTGAAATCAGGCACAACTTCCGGAGCTTGCTTGATTTCTGAGATTGCTGGCAAACATTCTCAAGTTAGCGACCCAGATGATCTGAGAACAGAATATCGACTACAAAAAGCAGCACGCCTCAATGTCTTAGGACTTTCTAATGAACTTGGTCACTTGAAAGTGGGTTCAAGAACGCCAAGAAGTAACCGTAGAGCTGTGCTGCATCTTTAGGTGATTCAGAGTTATTGTTTAGATTTACATATACACTCGTATGGGTTTTCAAAGAATGATTCTTCGGTCCTGAATCGCGCTCGACCCTTTATTCCAGGTTGTGGACCTCTCCTTTTTCTTGGACCTCCTTGTCTGCGAGAATTTTGATTGTAAATTACATGTTCTTTTGCTGTTTAACAGCCAGGTAAATAAAAATTTCTCAATCATTTTAGACTTTGGCGCCTGCCTTTATTTTGAAAGATGTGAAAATAGCTTTTGTGAAGACAACTAAGTAGGGAAGTTATACAAGTTGAAACCAACTTTACCTGTTCTTATGCATCCTACGCACATGATCTGACAGCGAGGATCCTTCTCCTAGCTGTCCCTTTTCCAGCTTATCAAAAATGTCAACAAGTCCTTTTCTGCAAATGATAAAGACTGTGAATAGATAGTGGAATAGGGAGGGAAAACAAATCAGTCCTAAGAAGCTTCTATCAGATAAGACAGCTATCAACAACATCTATCATGAACACTGGATATTTAAAATCATTTCAATCGTGCTAAAAAATGTACCAATATATATATCAGGAATGTTGTATATTCCAAGTAGCAGATTGGTTCATGACGAAAATCTTCTCCCCTAAAAATCACACTAGGTGAGTCTGGCTTGAAGTTAAAACTGTCATCATAAAACTTCCCCTCGAATGAAAGTTTGGTTGATCAAGTATTTTCTTTTCTCACGTTATTGGACTCATTGCTAAAGTATTCGGAGAAGAGGCTGTACAGCTGCTGCGCTATAATTTGTAGACTAACACTCAACCACCTTCTTTTTACGACAACGCTCAACCATATGATACTGTAACTTCACCTCAATCAGTCTTAGGCTTTGGTTTTCCCCCTTTTTCAATATCTACAAGCGTCTAGGTCATCTTGTACACACCCCAGCTATTCTCATGTCTCTACTAGATTAGGTTGGCAAGGTAACACGTAGAATATTAAATTCTAGGCAGATGTCCATCATGACTAAACCCATTCCGTCCTATCATTTGCTTTAGTATGTTCATTGCAAGCAGATCCTTCAAATAGTTTTAAGAACATATTAAGCTCTGAAGTATTTTTTTTGTGTTTTTAAACCTTGGAAATTGCTTGCAATTTAAGAAAAAGTATTAAAAAAGTCACGGTTTCCATGGAACTAAATCATGTAAAATGAAGTGTGAAGGTATGGGACTAAGCATTTTGCAGGCATAACTACGGCTAAACCTGTCACAATATACTCCAGAGGAAACTTCTCTGGGCCTGGCAGCTTTAAGCTAATTATTACCTATCTGGAGTGATCGTTTTGCGGTGCCCTAGGTATCGACGGTGGCCCTCAACTGCTCTTGCCATGTTCCCCGAGTATGTTGGAACAAAAACATCACTCTCAATTGAAATAATATAATCAAGTGCAGCACTCTGCGAAGCATGATTGATGAATGGCTTCAATTCTTCCTCTGTTGCAAGTGTTTCCTGTTAGGAGACCACAATTAGCTACAATTGCACCAAATTTGTGGGTTGACATAATAATACCACTTCTTATCGAGGATATAAAAAATTATGGTAGACTAACTTTGGTAACAATGTTAGGAAACCGAGAAGAAAGCTCAGAAAGTCGAGTATCGCCACCATAGATCTCCCCAGCTGCAATGTAGATTAATGTTGATGGAAGATACCCAAGAGCTTGCAGGAATATTCCCACTTCCTTCGGAGTCAGAGGACAAAGGCCCTCTATTCTTTGTTGCGTTGAGTTTATATTTTTGATCTTCCAATGTGGCGTTTTCTCCCTAGAAAAAAATAACAACATTGAGCAATATAAGAAGGATGAAGACTGAAAGAACTCCACATACTTTATTTTTAGAGCATTCCTACATAATTTCACCTCATTATTTCTAGCTCTTCGGCTTCAAGATGAGTCAAACCATAAGTACAACCCGTGAAGGATAGCATATCTTTCTCGTATCTCAAATGAAGGGCAATATACCTTCCTCCACGCAATCGAAGCCGCTCGACCAGCTTCTGTGGTGTCACCGTGATGCATGCTCAGTACCTAATTTAGCAGGAAGCCCCATAGGAGACCTCTTAAACTTATAGATACTGGAATACAAGTTAATTTGACGTTCATTATCACTCCACTGTCAGATGAATTTCTCATGCAATTCTAGATGAGCTTTTTCAAGGATTTTGAATCCCTTTCCAGAGTAATGTTATTTTGATGCATTTATGAAAACTAAACCAATTCAAGAATTCAAATATCTCCAACATGTTCGATGCTTGAACACTGGATATAGGCATTAAATTATTAGTGAAGCAGGTGCTAACATATATTTTAAAACCAGCAACAATCCAGACCTTCCCAAAGTTCTCAATTGGTGGAGCAAAATGAAGGGCTTCATACATTGCACGACATCTGAGTCTCTGAATATCCAGGGGCAGATCATTATTTGCTAATCGAGAATCAGATTTTGCGACATGAATGACCTACAGAAGTATACTCGATAAGACAGCAGCATATTCTTCCTAGAAATTATTAACAGTCCAAGTAGAGGGACAATCAGAAATCAAACAAATGAAACCTTTTCCGTTGAAAATAGGAAGTAAATAATTTAACAAGAGTACATGCAGGACTACAATTGTAGTTCAAATTAGATGTTACAACCAGTCAAGCTATCATAAAGATTCTACAGAGCTTCAGAATGATACTACAGATTAAGTTTTGTCTAGAGGAAAGGAGCTCCTTGGATAACATTCACGCTTTTTTTTCTTTAGTGGTTGGACCTCTTTTTCACCACTGCATCTAAACTAAGGATGGTAATTTACATTAAAAAATATGGAGGAATCCATTTAAAAACAGGTTACTAAAGAACCAGAAGATTCCTCGTTTGAACTTCAAACTCATATATACAAGATCTTCAAACAGTCAAAATACCTGATAATCTTTCCATAACCGCGTCATCTCTTCATAGTAACCAAAGCCAGCCCATGAAGTGAAATGCTTACGAGCATGAGGAATAGACTCCAATTCCTTGGGGAGCTCCTTGACTATTTTAATATCACTTCGTAAGGTTTTGATAAAGTGATGTTCGTCGAAAATATCTGAAAATGTACTGTAAAATGACTTAGAGGGGTTAAATTAAAAACGCAATCCACAACCAACTGATCGACAAATTGGCATGAAAACATATATCTAAGTACCTTGTATCATGCCAAAATGAACGTTTATCCAATTGA